ATGACTGYAGACACTTACACATTCTCTCCCACTAAACAGAAAATTTGATTAATTCACATTTCTTGTTGGCCTCATCAACACTGAACTTCAGTAACATCTATGATTAGAACTCACATGAGTCAAACACAGGTTAACATCTTGTAATGCTTTTGCTCATTTGCTTTTTTATGGTTCATCTATATCTAGTTAAGTGAAATTCAAACTATGATTCCTAGTCATAACCATTCTAAGAGCTTAAAACCATTTCCACACTAATACCATCTTTATTGGGTGCAACTAACTAGGCCAATGACCTCTATTCTTTTATTTTAAATCCATAAATCTAAGAGCACACTCAAATCAGCCATCAAATCACACTACCCAGCAGAACTGCATTCTCTCAGGCCAACTATTTTATAAAGAACTGCCATACTTCTTCAAGCAAAAATGACTKTCACATTCTTTAATACTTCACAATCCCAGTGCTACAACTTCATCTATGATTTATTCCAAAAAAGTTTCTTACCTCATCATTGATGACCTCAGATTGTTCTTCCTCTTCTTCTTCCTCCAGATCCAAGTCATTTTGCCTCAGRTATGCTTGCAGAGGAACACAATGCTTCTTCTTAAAAGCTAAAAAGTCCATCATATTCCCTTGAAGATGTTGCAGGAAAAACAGTTCAATCAAACATTCCTTAAAAGTTTCCTTAAGGATTTCCATCTGCTTGTGGTGATAATCCAAACATAGTTTTCGCATTTGAGCAGTTTCTTGGTTGGCAGGAGGAATCTCCTCCAACTTTTTGGGTTGTTTTTTCACTGCTGTGTTAGCTGTAGGAGTGAGAGGAAGACTCGACAGCCCCTGTGGCACAGTGGCCCGTGAAGGACTCGTGGGAGGAGGAGGTGATGTCATTCCAAATGCACTCGGTCCTCCAACTCCTGCTATCAATCCACCAGAAGTCCTGTCAAATCCAATGGGTCTACTCAGCTGCTGCCCTTGAAGCACTTGCTGCTGCTGTTGCATAAGYTGGCCCTGGATAATGTTGCTGATTTGGGGTGGCAAGCTGGTCGTTGTGATGTGGCCCGGGCTAGTCAAAGATTGCATATTTGCTCCGCTGGCCACAGGGCTCTGAGGGCCGAGGTGGTGGATGGTGCCCCCAGACTGTGAGTGAGGCTGCGAAAGCCGGCGCTCCCTCACCGTGGCCGGCGTCCCAGACGATGGAAGCTGCACTTGTGCAGCAGCTCCTTGAGCGATTTGCGCAATTCCYGGTCCTTCCTGATACACGAAGTGTCCGCCGTTGGAAGGACTCAGGCTGATCTGTCTCACCAGCACGCTGGCATCCACAAATCCTCTGGTGGGGCTCTGGCTGCACATGCCCAGGCCAGGGCCGGGAGTGCCCGCCCGGACGTTGGGCAGCGCCTGCACCGGCACCGGGTTGGGCTGGGTGGGGCTCTGCGACTGCACTTGCTGAGGCAGCGGAGAAGTGACTTGGATGTACGAGGGGGATCCATGCTCAAAACGCCTCTGCTGRGGGCTGAACTGAAAGCTCGGGGATGTCGGGTTTGGAAGCGGCAGCGGGGTGAGCGTTATCTGCTGGTTGCCCGAGGCCACCGGGCCCACGTTCTGCAGGGTGATGTTCACATTCTGCCCGGCCACGGGGCTCCGGCTCATGATAAACTGCTGGATTTGGTAACTGGGGGACTGCGGTGCAGAGGGGCTTGCAGAAGGTGCAAAAGAAGCCGCGGGGGACTGGGGTAAATTTGCCTGTTGTTCTTCTCCCTCACTGCCTGTGAAGGACCTGGATCTCTGGAGCTGRCGCTGGGCATTCTGAGGACCATTACCATGGTGCATTCTCACTGATCTAGGTTTTACAGTATACTCTAAAGAAATACACAAAAACAGAAATTCAGGGAARGTAAAAACTCTTCTGCAACTGAAACTATTTAGTTATGAGAAAGATTACATTATAATAAGAACTCTGTTATCCTGGSTTTGCAGTTACTTAAAATGTTTCAAATGATCCAAAACTCTCAGCATGACAAAAGCTCACATGAATTCCTCATAAATTTCTCTAGCTAATAACGCTGTTGAATAGTTGTACAAATGCAATTCCTATCAGCTAGGTAGACTGACTTCAAATAATAAAAAGTTCCCTTGCTGTGGAACTTCAAGTGATGAGAGTCTCCAATATTAAATACATCAACTCTTTTCATGCTCAGTATTACCAATGTTTTGGTGCTTCTAACTCTTAATACAAAGTTCTTGTAAACAATTGCTTAAAATATATAGTTCATTTTTTCAACAGTAACTGAAAATATCAGACTATTCAACTTATTCTTCTAGCTGCTGAAGGCCAAATCATCTAAATGTATGTAAAGCCACTGTACTTGATGCCTAACTTTGCCATCTCTTTCCTTCAGAACACAAAGAGATTAAAATTAACCCCATCTATATTTCATTTAAAATGCTGTTTATTGAGTTAAAACAAAAAAAAAAACATTCTGGTTTAGCATTTCAATCACAAACAAAAATTACAGTGACATGCACTAACAGCTAGATTCAGGGCTGGGAGTCACACAAAAATAGCAGCTAGAGAAAATGAAACCTCATGGGGTTTTTTTTTTTCCTTTCAAGATCTCTCTCCTATTTTGAAAGCAACACTTGCATTTTCAGCATTTCAAGCCAAACATACACAAACATGCTGCCACTCCTTTGTGTTCCTAACTCGAAGTTGGTTGCAAGTGGCAACAGGCAGCAGCACAGCAGCACTACTGRGAAGCTCGGGATGCAGTGGGATGCAGCGGGTGCTGCTGGCTCTCCCGCTCCTCCGCTACCCAGGCAGGGAGCACATCACAACCCTCAGCTCTCCTGTCCTGCGCTATCTGCGGCAATAAGCACAAGCCCTAGGGATGGAAACATTCCCTTCCTTGCCCCGGGAAAGAGGCGGCTGTCCGGGAAGGTGGAGCGAAGCAGCGCTGTCAAACGCTCCAGCAGCGACACGGGGCCGAGAGCCCGGGACCTCCCGTGCCGGGGCTACCGGGGAGCGCAGCCGGCAYAGCGGCTCCTTCGGGCGGGCTCTGCCTCTCCTGCACTGGGCTCATCCCGGCGGGTCACGGCTCTCCTGCTCCGGGGCTCATCCCGGCGGCTCTCCCGCTCCCGCACTGGGTTTATCCCGGCGGCTCTCCCTCTCCCGCTCCCCGGAGCTCAAACCTGAGCGAGCTCCCTCAGCAGAGCGGGAAGGGAAACAAACTGCACTCCTTACAGGCCCCTTTTCCAAAACATTTAACAATACTGCAATTCTTCGACGTATTGTGGTTCTTTCACAGCGCCGACACCAAATAATTAAGATTCAAACGATACCACCAGCAACAAGGTCTTATTATTTTAATTATCCGCACCTCACTAACACTTAGGGCCCTAGTGAAAACAATTAATTACAGGCCGATAAGGGAAGTCCCGGAGCAGAGATCGCCTTTTGTCTCTAAACGGCGCGGCGGGGCCGCCCGGGCCGGGGCCGAACCCCTGCCCCGCCGCGGCCTCTCCGCAGGGTCTCCCCCAGCCCGGCACTCCCCCCGCCGGGCCGCGCTCCCCCTGCCCGGCCCGGCCCGGCCCTGCCCACCCCGCGTCCCCCGCCCCGCGCCGGGCGGGCCCGTCCCTCCGCGGCCGCCCCCGGTGCGGTGGCGGGGCTGTCTGGGGCCGCGCGGGGCGGAGCGGGGCTCGCAGCCGGTGCCGGGCGGGCCCCGCGGGCCGCACTTACCGCGGGCGCCGCGGGTTCCATTCGCTGCGGGCAGGAAGCGCGGGCGGGGGCGCCGCTACCAGCGCCGGCAGGAGACAAACCGCGTCCCGCCGCGCCTGCGCCGACACCCACGGGCCGCGCCGCGCCTGCGCCAGCACCGCGCCTGCGCAAAGGGGAGACTGCCCGCGGCTCCTGTCGCGATAGGAACGGGCTCGGCGACAGGGCGGAAAAATTATCTTTATTGTAGCAGAGGCAGGGGAGGGTAAGGACCGACCGAAGGGTAATTTCTGTCCGCGCAGGGAGCAGGGCGGATTCTTCAAGACAGTGTAAAAATCCACAGTTGCATGTCGAGGGGCTTGAACCTCTCGGGACAGGAGAGATGGGAGCGCCTGGAGGGAAACAAAGGTGAAGAAGGGGCTGGAGCATCTCTCCTCAGCAGCTGAGGGAGCTGGGGCTGTTCAGCCTTGAGAAGAGGGGGCTGAGGGGGACCCTCTCCGTGTCTCAGTGTCTGCAGGGAGGCTCAGAGCACGGACCGGGCTCTGCTCGGTGGTGCCGGGTATCGGACAAGAGACAACGGGCACACACTGCTCAGGAGGTTCCACCCGGAGTTAAGCACATCACTGACATGATCCAAAACCTTTAAGAAAATATGCAAATRATCTGGTAAAGCACAGGACTGCAAAACAGTTTTACAACACAAAATGCAATTTAGTCCAATGCACTTCACAGCCCTCAGGAGAACATTTGGTGACTTAAATGTTTCAGAACATGAACAGATCTATCAACACGCTCAAATTACTTCCCATGAGTGTTTCAGTATTTAAATTTGCACAGGAATGTTTGATTTAAGTGGACTGAAAAAGAGGTACTTTATGAAAGCCACTTGGCTATCGCACAGAAAAGTAATTTCTAAGTACTTTTTAAAGGTTTACACAAAACAAGAGGAATYCCCATACCTGATTGACCAAGCTGGCCAGCTGTTCTGAGTAGGAACCACTGTGTTCCCTGAGTCATACAACTCTCTATCTGCATAATTCCTTAGCTCAGACAGTGTCTCTTCTGTAAACGTTCTAGAATCCTCTTTTCCATATTCAGAGCAAAGAACCTTATGGAAACAGATTTTGAAGTATTTAGTAAGATATGGCATGATGTCAAAAACCATTTAGTTATCCTAAAATCAAGTTTAGAAAAGTCAGATTACAAATGTATTTGACACCTTCTGCTGGAGGAGATGTTGCTTTTGACTGATTAAAACAATGCCAATGAAAGGGTAATGTTGTATTGTCATTGAAACAAGCGAAGTTTTATTACTGAAACTGTTACCTTCTGATTTTCAATATGTGCTGACAATTCAGGACTTCTACTGAATTTACCTGTGAACACCTATAACTGGTTCCCAAACAAGTSTAGAAATAGATATACCACTACCTGCTCAAAATTCTAACTCGGATCTAATAAAACACTTATTTTTTATGTATCATCATATAACTGCTCACATTCTTAATGTTACAGTACCTGAGATAAAAGGTCTGTTGAACAATTCCCTCCCTGAGCAGTCAGTTCTTGAATCAAATGTTAAATACTCTTTTTCAGATGCATGATATAATCTTTGAAGGGGTCTTAAAAGATGAAGTTAACTTAAACTAGAAGAATGACCTCAACCAAAAATCCTAGTTTCATCCCAAACCATTCTCTCTCTATATTTCATTTTATAACACCAATTTCTTAGCATGAAATTCAYCTGTATATGTGGACATCTCTGCCTCTTGCAATTTTGTCACCCCATCCCTTAGTCTTTGTGTCCATCAGCAGATCTCAATCAGTACCATAGAAGATAACAGTAATCACATCTGTGTGACTGACACCTGTGGAAAGAGCATGGGAAGAAARGATGGCATAGAAGAATCACTTGTCCTGGTTGAAGCTTTTTATAAATTCCTAAAATGGGGAAACAAGCACTTAATTATAAATTCACATTAATAAAAGATACATCTCTGAGCAAACTTTTTTTAATAGATTGAGAAGATTGGAAAAATTGCTTTCTTATTACTTCCCCAACCTACATAAGCATGCAAACATTTTAAGTTATCTGACTATCCACATTACAGATCTACACAATTCATAATTAATCTACCATTAAAGCTATTAATTTATGGTACAGTCAGCCAGATAAAAATCTAAAGATCTATTACAGTAATCACATCATGTCCTATGACTAAGCACACCTGAGTGATTATTCCTGTATGTGCTCCATCATTTTTCTTGTCTATTGACTAAATCAAATCCCTTTTGTTGTGCTGCCTTGTGCTGCTTTAAGGCAAAGTATTCTTTTATGTTTTATAGTGCATCTGACAGAAACCATAACAATGCAACTTAGAATAAAAGATAAGAAAAACTGAACTCTATTGTTAATGTTTGCTCAAATTGTAGGCCCCAGAGGATACAGAGAATCTTACTGGGGAGGGAGAGGAGCATACTTTYAATTTATCCTCAGGCAATGCCAGGGCACTCTACAGAAAATAAAAGCCCCTGGAGTAAGGCTGAGGAACTGCCAACACAAAAACACCAACTACACTTAAAGTACTAACAATGTAAATAGCTACAGATAATGAAAGCAAAAGCAATTAATCAAATGGCTCTTGTGAAATAAAACATCTGCATTTGAAGCACAAATTGGTCATAAACATAGGATAACTAGTGGCATACTCCTTGGAAACACCCTAGATGCCTCATCAAATAGTAATATGACTGACATATTTCATATATAATTACATATTTGTGCTACAGCTACATACATAATTTGCTTCAATAAGTCAGGAAATTATGCAAATGAATTTTGCAACTGTATTAGACTTCCCTTTAGCATTTTCCCTCCCACAATGAGCACCTCTTCACTGTTAGCTTGAGTAAGAGATCCTCTTACCAGATAATGCCAGCTGTGAGCACCACTCTCCCTAAATCTTATACTCATGTGAGGAAATGGAAGTTCAGCAAAAGCTCCAGGATCATCTGTGTCAAAMTCAGCACTCACTGCCCTTCTGCTTTCAGCTTCCAAAGCAGGGTAGCCAGAGGTCCCAGCTTGCCTGGTTACAAAATGAGAACCTGAAGGTTCTGCAGGTCACAYTCAACCATCAGAGAAAGCCCCTGCATACAGGTGTAACCAGTGGTGGGGTTTTAATACCTGAATCACCAGTCAGGGATCTGGAAACTGGAGAAAACAAGGCCCTGCTATCTGCTGCATTGAGTGGAAGTAGGGAAGCATCTGTTCCTTRAGACTGATCTTCAAGAGCTTCATTCCATGGGTAAATGTGTCAGGAGGATTTGCTACATAAAGACATGGAGGAGCAACAGCTACAGCTGGCAACATGCACAGATCTCTATAAAACAAATTACAWCTTTATTATACTGATTTTTAACTGYTTGGGCTATTAACTACTCAAAASCAGTAATATTTGCAAAGAAGCAYAAAGCACCTGGCTAAAGGCAATAGAAAGTAAATCAGGACATGAAGTTTTACACTGACATCAAGTAAATGCAAAAACACTGAAGAGCAAATCATCACTATCCATAAAGTTACCAAGAGAAGCTTACTACACCTCCTACTTTTTTTTTGTCAGTATTACCACAACAAATAAAAGACATGACAAAATAAAGTAGAATTGTTATATAACAAATAACAGTTGCCATGGAACTATTGAGAGTTTCAGACCTTAGAACTATCTAAAATTATACATCTGGGATGCAAATAGGTTCAGCATAAAGGAACGTAGCCTGCAAAAAGGATAAAACAAAGCAGCTTATTTATCATTTAGCATTTTACAGTTRYTCACATAAATASCCTGTTTTGAAGGGTAGCACACACRCATSAAATCCATGCACAGACTGCACATGGATTTGTCTCAATTACCTTGCAATAACATCCTTCAGRGCAATCAGTTGCTGCTTCACTGTCAGAATGAGTTCCTGCAATGGATCCTTTGGAACCTCTGAACTGCTGGAATATGAAAGGCAATTTGCAAATTGCCAACCCAGTGCCACTTGTTAATCCTGCCAGAACAATGCTGAGAGATATTTCTTTCACTGATCCAAGAGCAAGTTTCCAACAGGACTCTGCCATAYAGGGGGATTCTGGAACAATGACACTCATTCCAAGAGTATATTTGGTCCAGGTGTTCCTTTAGTTGTCTTTTTTCTTCTGGGACACCCTTTAAATTCTGAATCTATTGTGATCAGATAAAGCTTATGCAAAATACAAAGCTGAAAATAAGGATAATTTAGTTAATGAAAGAGTTCTATGAATGGCTATGAAAGGAGAAGAGAGCARGAGAAAAGCTGACACTTGTGAAACAAGGACAAATGTTAGCTTTGGTATTGCAATGAAAAATAAATCTGCTTTCCTRTTCTATGCCTACTGGCAAAAATATTATTTTTAGTCAGTAATCTGAGCTGAAAGAGGTACCCAGCTGAAGAGCATATGGCAGAAGGGATTCTGCTTATCTCAACATGCAGAAGAAGCACACTGTACTATAACATTCAAGTACACCAAATGCTCTGATGCTCCTGTCATCTCTGAAGGATTACATGGAAGGGGCGTAACAGAACTCCCATATCCCTCAATCATTTTTTGGAGTCWGGAGACAGAAAAGATGCTAATAAGGGTCAAACTTCTTAATGGAGCAAAGCCTTAACTATGGGTATGGTTTTCAAAACACTGCAATTCTAAGAGCTGATTTCACAGTAACTGTTTTGTGTATGCCATTTCCAGGAAACTAAAGATGTCTAAATAGCAGAAGAATGAGTTTGGTTTTTTTGCTTTACACATATGCTCCAGCCATCACTTCCAATCCTTGAATTTCATTTACTGCCAATGCTCCCTTCTGGCAGAACAGCCTAATAACACTAGTGCAGGACATCCTCCTTGTCACCTGTCACAGTCACATGTCACACAAGCTGTCTTGGGCTTCACTAACCATTCTCTGATCATATCAGGTTAATTTATTGTAAAATTTAAGTCTACATTGCTCTACAGCAGAATTACATTTGCTCCAAGACTCAAAACTGGACCTTCCCAACATCTCTTCTGAGGGAAGACTCAAGAGCAAAAAACAAATAAGCTCAAAATTTAACTTTTTTTCCACCCCCTGCTCCCTCCCCTCCCAAAAAAAAATCTTGCRAGTACATCTTAGACTTAAAATTAACTAGAAGGAGAAAATTTAATTATTTTCCTTGGGAAACTACACCAGAAGTAACTTGCACTATTTGATCCAAACCACAAGTGACTTCAACCTGGAGTGTGGCTGGAAAGATCAAAACTGAGCCTTCATAAATTAAATGAACTATTAATCAATAAGAAGCACTCTGCTTTCCCTCAGAAGACTGGCATATAGTCTTTAGCAGTGATCAGTATGGAAACAATAGATAACAAGAGAAACAAATAATTCTGAATGAACCCTCTCAGCCTGCACAAATATYACTCATTTTCACCTGTTACTTAAAAAAAAAAATCAATAATAAATAAATCATCTGAACACTACATACCTATTTGATTTGAGCTTCCCTGGCTCAAGTCTGGGTGATGAAAGAGAGCAGTGGATGTCTTCAATAAGCTTTCTAGCTACCTTCAGTCCTGGCAGTATTCGTGCTTCATAGCAAATAATTTGGTTTTCCATTCCAATCACACTGAAGAGAGACAGACTGCATGCTTAAGTGATGAAAAAGAAAATAAAAACACAAAGCAAAGACATATTTTACTACTATTCCGTTGCAGTTAAAAAAAAATGGCAATGATACCACATTATCTGAGAAGGATGAAAAAGTTCACAGCTGATGGCAGAATTAAAGTGGAACATGGAAGAGCCATATGTCATGTGATTTTGSAGAGAGCAGCTGCTGTTACTTTAAAAGGTTCCAACAACCCACACCATGGAAATAGAGCTCATGTTACCAGGAGKCAGGAACAGGGCAGCACCCTCAAATGACAAGGTCTGCAGTTAATTAAAACTCGTAATTAAAACATTTGCCTTTGTAGAACTGGTATTCCAGAACCCARCTATTCCCACCTTGACACATGAACCCCAAAATGAAACCATGAAATTGTTTTAAGTTTTTACTCTATTCTATCTAAAAAGCATATTTGTAAGGAAAGAAAATAATTACAATCCCTTTAGGAGTACTGTGTTAAGTTTACAAACACAATGGAGAGGCAAACCCAAACACACATCCTMAGTGACATCTAACCTTGAAAATGCTGCCTATTCTTCCCCCCTTTCCTGGCTGAAAATGTCAAATTCACATTACTCTGTTGCCAGTTATCATCTTCCATCTTCTTTCTTGAACAAAATCAGTTGCCATGCACTGCATTTCTTCCAAAAGATAATCATGACGTGATTTGTGCCGTGGGGCCTCATGGAGTTGGGCAGATGTTTCAGAGACCATAAACCTTCTTTCCTCAGCGCAGTTATTCGCTGCAGAATTTCATTTTCCTTCAAATAAACATAATTAAACTTGTATTTCCTACTGCACAACACAAAACCAAGACTGACACTGTGAAAGATGTCACATGGATAAGCAAGATAAATGATTGTTCAGTCCTTGGAAACATTCTGCAGTGTTTGAAGTTGCACTTYATTAAAAGATGATGAATAATGCATTTTGTGCAGCTTTATGTAAAATCTCTGAAGGACTTTGTGAGGCAGCAGCAATGTGAAAAATCAATAAAGAAGTTTGGGATGCAGTGGTACTTAGTCTTGGGAACTTCTGTTTTTCCTCCTAAAATATAGTACCCCTAGATCTCATTGGAAGTGCCGAGCTGATTCAGTGAACTTCACAGAATTTAAATACTATACCAGAATGGCAGAATTCTCTAAAAAGTTCATATAAAAATACATTTCATTTCTGGCCATTTTTTAACACATATAAGCATCCTGCAACTGCTGGTAAGTCAGCACAAGCAGCACAAATTTTCTTCGTGATTCCTCCCCCCATATTCTAAATATGGTGCATAAAAAGTTAAAATAATGGATTATGTTTAATTAAACCTCCTTCTAGGATTTCATTACAAGAACAAATGCTATTTCCCTAGAGAACGTGTCTGATTCCTTCTCACCCCTCTCCTTTCTTCAAGAAAAATCATGTATATCTGCAGCACTAATTAAAACCAAATGAGATGCAGGGATCCACAGAGCATTCTAAATTTAAATGAACGCAAAGTTTTACTGTAAAGGAAGATTCACACCCAGCTGAGCTGCACCACAGCTATCTGAAGCAAATTATCAGGCTTTGCAAAGTCATCTGCAAAAAGTACTGGAATCATTTGCGCCTTTCTCCTCAGGCTGGAGTGATAAATTCTGCCATCTACAAAGTTTCCACACAAAACACAAAGGTCAACACTTCCCATGCAAGATAGCATTCAAATCTGATACCTGTTGTCATGAGGGAACTGGAGATGGGACCACAAGCACATACTTCTTATCCCAGCCTGCTGGTTGTACCTGCTGGGGCAGAGCTGGCTTCTTGCTGTGTGGAGCATGTAAGGAATTACACAAACTTGACAAATTTGGTCAATTTTGCTGCTGGCTTTCCTCCTGGCTAATCTGCTGAGCCACMTGAGGGACAGGAGGCATTTCACCTGCAGAGAGACTTTTAAAAACTGCCGTTTTAGTACAGAAAACAGTGAAATAACAAAAAGAACCAAAGAAAGTGGCAATACAACCTGTCACATTGCTGGTGAAATCAACTTTCCACCATACCCCAATACTCCTACCTACCTGAAAGCTCTCAAGGTGTGAACTCAATCAACATGCCAATCTAGGATGTACTTATCCACTCTTCAACCTGACAAGATCTTTGCTAACAACATCCTACAGAGAGTTGACAACTACATAACCAATCTCTATCAGGGTATCAAATGACCATAAGGGAAAAATTTCATGCAACAACATTAATTAAGGAAAGCAACAAATTAGGCTCAGAGGGTGCAAATTTAAACTCAGAGCATGGAAAATGAGATGTGCGGCACTTACTTGGATCTCTAAGATTTTCYCCAGAGGGTTTTTTAAGTGTGTAACAATTGGTACGAGATATARTGTTACAATTACAGAAAATCTCATTAAAGCAATTATCTTTAATTACAAAGCTTAAAACTTACACTTAATCATAAATCATTAATATGTGCACTAGATGTACCAGCATTACTTTAAAGGTCGTGATTTTTTTTCTAATTGCTGTCAGAACTAATTATGAGTCTCTCTGTGAAGTACTATTTTGCAACTGAAATAAAGTTAACCTAATAAAGTATCWCATTATCAATAAAATGGTGCACCACTTCCAACCCATTCTTATCTCTGATTTTACTTTTATATTCTCTTTATTATGCTACAAAATGGGTTTTATCGTTGCAGAACTGCCTCGTGCACAACTATAAAAGGAGCTGATCTCAATGATCACTGACCTTTGAACCCAGATTAACCACTTGAATTGTTTATCATCCAAGTAGATTTATCCRGTTGCTTTATCTCTAGCAGTCAGACCCGGAGGGTTCCTGCAGCACATCCTGAGTCTGGACTGGGTACRTTAGTACTTTGAAGATGATGCAGGATGGTCAAGTTTTACTGTTTCTCCGGCCCACGCACTCAAGGGCTGCAGTCACGGAGAGAGGCCGGTGCCGTCACACACACGGGAGATGACGGAAGCTGTAACAACATGCTGCTGCCTGGTGTCATTCCTGCCAGTCCCAGTTCCATAAAGCAGAGGGGCGGGATGATCCATGCTGCCAAGTCCGTCAGAGCCCGGTACGCGGTGTAAACGCTGCCTCGGAACAGAGCAGGCGCTGACGCGGGGCTCGGCAGCGCCGGCAGCGCGGTGTCCCGGCCCCTCGCACCGCCCCTCACATCGCTGCGCGTCCGTTCCCCCGCACCGGCACGAACCTTCTGCTCCCCATGGCTGTCCCCTGTCCCCATCCCGCACTCCGCTGTGCCACCACCCCCGCACAGCCTCACCTGCTCCGCACAGCCGGTACCACCCCCGCACACCCTGTGCCGTCCCGCACACCGCGCACCGCCCCCGCACAGCCCGACCCGCTCCGCACCCCCGTGCCACCCCCTCAGCCCGT